TCCTCTTTATACAAAGACAAGAACTTCTATAAATACTATGTTTATACAAACTATGTTCATTCATGTTTTTCACGTGGACTTTATACTGCTTACAAGCAATTCCAACTTAGCTGCTTGTAGATGTTTAACTGGCAAACTGTGTGTTAAAAAAGGTTTTACCCGCTATTACTCTTTCGCATGGCATTCAATCGGATGATTGGGCGTTAACTGGCTGCCTCATGAAATAGATTTTATTGCCACTTAATGATATTATGATATTTTATTGCAATTTATGATATTGCTGCATTTTATGACACCGCTGCGCTGGGGACTTACAAAACTAATATTAATATTTATGCTGGCCTACATAAAGCATAAGCAAACAAACATACAATAAAATTTGCACAGACATCGGCAGATTGCGTTACTCACTAGATAAAATCAACTCGTATAATCAACTCGAAACTTTCGGCCAGGTTTTCTTTTTATACCCCGCACCCATTGTACATTGATAAAAAGGGTATCATGGTTATGATGTATATGAATGCAACATGCAAAATAAAGAGACTCCAATGAGGTATATACTTATCTTCTTGCTCAGTTTGGCGAACCGAGTCGATCTTTTCATATCTGTAAAACTCGGAAACTACAAAAGCTAGAGACTTGATATTTGAAATGTTTTTTGTCGTATGCAGAAGAAGTCAATTATTTTTCTTTTTTATCAATTCTTATTTTCGTAGTTTCAATAGAAATAATTTTTAGGTCGTTTGCTTTCAAGCAGAAATCGAAAATTATACGAGCTAGATACATAAAACTTAATTTGGTTTTCATATAGTTTATGCAGAATAAAATGATTATACCCTTCGGATACCTTATCCATTCCCTCCGGAAGATATGATTTTTAAACATAGTTCGGCGCTTTGGTATATACATAATTTTGTACTACACATGTAAGCTATGAAATTTGCATAAGATCGGACTATAAGCACCCAAGTTAATCAACAATGCATTCATTACTCATAGTGTAGGGCCAAAGGAAGAATAATCACAGCTCTTAGACTATTTGTGCTTTTGTGTATGTATTGGAGGAATTTCAGGGTATCTCCCAGTCCTGACTAAGCCACTCTTGTTTTCTTTTGAAGGCTTAATACAAATGACTAGGTGGCAGCTGCTTAATAGTGCGTGGATTGTGGATGCCACTGGACGGTGTCCAGTTGGTTAAGCAATCGCAATGCCCAAATGCAACATGAAGAATGCAAAATGCAGCTGTTAAAACTACAAAAAAAGATGTATGAAAAATGCAAAATGCGAGATGGTCGAGCGGCGATCAGCGGGCGTGAAATTAATCACAGAGCGAGACATAAGATTCCCTCGCGAGCCTAAAGGCCTAAAGGCGGCTGTCAGCTTAAATTACTGGACAATGCGACGTATATGAGGTGCCATTTATCAATGGAACTGGGTTACCCAGTCTTCAGGTCTTGCAGTCATTCAGTCTTTCTTATGATCTTCCAGTTTTACACGCGCAGCCAACGAAAGTGAAGTTTTAATTTGGCCAAAGATGATTACGTAAGTGTTGTACTTTTCACTCACCGTTGGCTTCTTTCACAGCGTAAAATACAAGAAAATAATAATAAACAAAAGATGGAAAAAAAATAAACAAAAAAATACAATTTCAGCCCACGCTTTAAACAATAAAACGAGCAATAAATATAGACAGTTTGGCTTTTGTGCATTGATTTATTGCTAATTTATATGGTTGGCTCGGTTGTTAAATCATTTTTACACCTTACCGCATGGGGGGAGCATCGCCTCTTGCGGAACTTAAGCATCCCAATCTTATAGATGAGCCTTAATTAAAAAATATTTATAAGGCATTTTTTGCATTAGCTTGATGTTAGAGCTGCACGCGATTGGATTTTCTTACTGCATGCCTGAAAATTAAGATAAGGCGTAGATTTGTGTTTTTATACAGCGGCGGGGAAAGTATGGGAAATATGAGAAAATATCATGAATTAAAACAAAATTATGACCCAAACAAATATTTTGTTTTTTTGGGTTTTTTTTAAATATATTATTATGTGTTTTTTTTCTAGAGTTTAGTGTAAAGAAAACTCACCTTCAATAGCTGATGATGATTTGGTTAAATGAAGAGGAAACATAAGATTGTACTTTATTGTAAATATTATGCTTCCGCCTGGCTTTTCAAGTGCTTTTCATTTTCATAGTTTTCGCTTATTTCCATGTTGAAAAACTAAATGAAAATAAAAGAAAACAAAACAGAAAAAATGGTATTTTATGTACACTGAGCTAAGCTTTTAGCTGGCTGGTTTTAGTTGGGACTCGTAATATAGCCGTTAGATTTCCCAGTGCCTTGGCCTGGGCATTACAATTTATGATGATTACCATTTTCGAAGGCATGTGTATAAGGCTGGCAACTTGATTAGCGCGAAAGACGACCGCAAAGCAAGCTGCTGGCGATTTGACGATTTGACGACTTGACGAATTGACGAGCCGGCCATCGCAACTGAGGCCGGCGATGATTTCCATAGTGAAATTGACGCAAATGAGCAGTAAGGCGGACAACAACGCTATTGATTTTGTGGCTTTTTATTTAGCCAAAAAAATAAATGAAGAAAAAACCTTTAAAAAAATGTATATATATAAAGAAAAACACAATTCAGGCACCAGACAGAAAGTCGGCAATAAATTTTGTGGCCGTGCAACAAGAAATCAAAATCAATGTTAGATATTTCTTCAACTGCAAATTATTTCCCATCAAATGCTGCAGTTGTCTTTTTTTGCCGTCTTTAGTTGTTTATTGGCTGTCAAACTGCAATCGAGCCAGGAGTTTTCTCTTCACATTTGCCCTCTGGCAGAACTTGAACTTTAACCTTGCGCTGGGGCGGCGCCAAACAAAAAACAAAAATACATTCAGTTAACTCGGAAAAATTATTATCATTATTGCGCTTTTGTGTGAAAATGGCTGAGTCATGTTGAAATTTGATTGATCTTGTAAAAGAGTGCTGGACCGGCTATTTAAAAGAGGTAAAACACAATACACAATGTGCATAGAAAGTTGCATCCAATCAAATTAAATTCAAGCAACCGCAGCAATTCGCTTACAACTTGCTGATGAGCTGTTAAATTAAGAAAAGATTAATTATTATTTTGGCATAAGTTCGAAGAACGCGGGGCATAGGCTAGTTTAGGTTGGTTTGGATTAGCAGGCGTCTAATGAGGATCAAAAAGGGTCATATCTATATAGAGACTTAAGCTAGGAAAGGGGATTTCGAAATTGAAATCTTCAATGATGTGCAAAAGGCTGAATCCTATACAGAAAGAAAAGAGGGATAGAGATAGAAGCAAGGGTTAGGTTAGGTAAAGGCGAGCTCAAAGAGTTTCCAATGATAATATCTAAGCGAGAGAGAAAGAGAAATTGAAAGAGGTAATAGAAAGAGAAAGAGAGAGAGAGAGAGAAAGAGAGAGAGAGTGTGTGAGGGAGAGAAAGGGACTGAGAGAGAGAAAGAGTAAAAGCGCACTTCGAGTCGAAAAATTTAACTTGTTTTATTTCATATATTCTATTTCATATCTATATGTATATCTACATTTGTATCTATGTACTTTGGGTTTTCAATGCTTGTAATTGAAATTGGAAATGTATATCGAGGAGTTACTCCACAATTTGCCCCTTTGGCCCTGGCCCTTCTCTTCAGATTATATAAGTGCCATACATTAGCATAATTTTTGTGGTTAGTTGCGCTTTTCTAAATCGCCAAGATTAAGCATGGCGGGCGCATTTTTGAATTTTATTCCGCATTGCTGATTAAATAATTTAAGTGCTCCCGAAAACGAAATCAATGCGCAGCCAAAATCGAGCAACAATTGTAAAATTTGGCTGAAAACAGAAGAAAAACAAAACTAGCCAAGTGCCAAGTGGCAGAAACGTGATTGCCAAAATGCTGAGCGGCAAACCCGATACCCAGGCCAGACCAGACCAGACCAGGCCCACTTAGAGAGTGACAGGTGGTCAGATAAGTTTGCTTTGGCTTGGCATGATCGCTATGGCTGTGGCTGTGGCTGTGGATTGGCGCACCACTTGTTGATGCAACAATTAGTCTAAACTTTCAGCAGCGTCCAAACAAGCGTTGCAAGGCAATTTGCAAACAGTTTCGTTTCCGAGCCACAGTCAAAAGCCAGGGCCAGAAATCAATCGTCAAGCTGTTGAAAATCGCAAATTGTGCAAAAGCAACGCAACATTCAGCATGCCGCATCCCCTTACCCCACTGCACCAACTCTGACTCGACAATCTCTGCGGCAGGTTACGTGCTATAATGCGTTATGATTTGCCGTCTTTACAAATGCCGGAAAGATGAACATGCACAGATTAGCGAGCCATCGCTAGATTGTACGTACCCGTGCTTATATACATACGTATATATATATACTCATCTGACTGGAGGTTGCAACTAAATGTTTGGGTTCAGCAGTGAACGTACCCAATCTGAAGCGCTACTGCCCTCAAATTATGGGTAGAGTTTTCCAAAAAGGAAACATATAATAATCGAAAAGCTATACAAGTTGGCTCATAACACGAAATGACCTTTATATGGGATGACCTTTATTATAAAAAAATTGAGCCTTAGGCAGGGTTATTCCACTTGTGAGTCCAATAAGCCAGACATAGCCTGTTCTTCGAAAGATATATCGCCATTGGACTAGAGTGACAAATTTTTAATAATAATAATAATTGTAATAAAATATTTATATTTTATTTGGATCGACTGATTGACACTATACACATATTATACACTGACAGAAAACTGTCATCCGAAATTTTAGCTAATAGGTTTAATATAATATAATAGTATCTTGCGTCATGCAGCAATTATGCTTGCGAGTTACACTTGCTTTTAATGATCTCAAATATTCCAAGATTATTTAACACTCGCTCTATTTACGGCGCCTCCAAGGCTGCATTTATTGCCATTATCTCAAATGAGGCTTGAACTGTGCACTCCACCATGCCGCGCCCAAATATAATAGTGTGGGACGTGGGGGCAGGTGGTGGATTGCTTAGCCAAGCTTATTGAGCCATCTAGTAAATGCCTCAATTGCAGACCCCAATGCTAATTAGCATAATTGTTGAAGCTAATCTACTTACTCTTTGACTCATCCCATTCCCAGAGACATTGCAACACGCTGCCCTGGGCGTTGCTGCTGGCACTGCTGCTCGCCGCGCTCATGCTCCAGTTGGCAACTGCCGATGGCGTTCAGGCGGATGAGGCGGCCACAGAGGTTGAGAATGTAAGCACTGAGAGCAATGAGATTATACCACGAGAGGCCATACAGAAGCTGGACTACTCGGTGCGACAGGCGCTGCTGCGTGCCATAGACAAGCTGGAGCGAGAGGAGGCCTCTTCGCAAGACGAGGTGGAAGCGGATGCGGAGGCGTCAATCAGTGCGCTGCCGCTAAAGCGCAAAGAGATAACCACATTGGCCCCGACACGGGAGCGTGAGGAGATTCTGGAGGAGAGCACCAGCTCCTCGGATGCTGTGGTGCCCACCGTGCAGTTCTATACGGCCACCTTTGACGAACGCAATGCCCAGGAGCAGTTGCTCTCCTCCTTCATCGATCGCTCTAAGCTGTGGAAGAAGACAACAGTCCGCAAGCCGGTCACCATCGATGCCAAGCTGGATGCGGATGCGGGTCCCGATTCGCGTCAGCTGACACGCAGCGTGGACAGTTCGCTAGGCAGCAATGAGATTGCACACGATGGTAGCAATGAGATCAAGTTTGAGATACGCAACGTGAAAAAGGCAACGACGGCAACAACATCAACATCAACAACAACCACAACAACAACGACGACAACAACGCCAAGGCCACGCACCACCAGGCGTCGCACGACCAGCACCACAACAACCACAACAACAACAACGCCACGCCCCACACACAACGAGGATGGCGAGAACATTGAGCTGGTGGACAAGGAGGATATACGCATACAGGCGGCGCCGCTCGTAACCGCCTTTACAGTGGATCTAGATGAGCGGGGCACGGCGCAAAAGTTTCGCCCGCTGCTGCAGGGCGAGCAAAGCTTTCCTCAGCCCCAGCAGCTGCAGCAACAGCAGCCACAGTTGCCTTTGCCACTGCCACACGTTGGACCCACCATCACCAAGCTGAACGTTCTGGAATCGGAGCTACCTGCAGCGCCGCTCACCACACAGAGTCCCACGAGCACCACCAGCACGAGCACCGCACAGACGAGTCTCAACCATGCGGGCTTCTCCACAACGCCCGCCTTTCTCAGCGGCAGCAGCTCGAACAACAACTACATCAAGGTAGGTTCGCATCCAAGCAAATGACACCGCACTAATCTTGTATAAATTCTCTGCATTTAGGAGCCGCTGGCTAGCCCCAGTGTGACAGCACCCGTGCCGCCCAGCGTCAATAGCTACATCATTGAGCGACAGCGCGCCCTGGAGCAGCAAATCTATCAGCTGAAGCTGCAGGCCCAGCAGCAGCAGGCGCTGATCTTGCGCCAGTTGAAGCTTCTGGAGGAGCAGAGTCAAAGTCGCTACCAAGTTGCCCCGCTTGCGCAATCGAGCACATTGCAGCCGCTGCAGCAGCAGCAGCAACAGCAACAACAGCAACAACAGCAACAGCTTCAGTTGCAGCAGCAGCATGCATCACTGGAGGCAATACAAACGCTGCAGCCGCCTCTGCCTGGTTACTCCATCAGACCTTCGGTGGAATTTATACCCAGCACACATACGAAGACCATTATCTATCCCACATATCCAATTGAGCAGCAATTGCCGCTGCGCGATGCCGTTGCGGCTCATAAATTTGCCCTGCACGGCAGCAACGGCAACAACAACAATAACTATCAGAAATCGCCAACGGCAACGAATGCAGTGCAACAAATTTTCCAAAATTTGCAACAAAATCTGCAAAAAACAGCGGAACATGCTGTCAGCAATAACCAAAATCCCAATAGCATTACCAGCAGCAACATAAACAACAACAACAACAACAACAACAATCATTTACAGCTACAAGCCTCAAATCAGTTCAGCTTTGCGCCTGCGGAGGCATCGCTGTTGCAAGCACCACCCCAAAATAATTACCAGCAATTTCAGCAGCAGCAACAGCCGCAGCAGCAACCGTTGCTGCTGCCCAGCTATGTAAGCAATGCGCTTTATCAGCAACAGCAGCAGCAACAGCAACAGCAGCAACAGCAACAGCAGCAGCAGCAACAGCAGCAGCAGAATCGAGCGCGTTTTTTTCGACAGGAATCGGGTACCGGAAACTTTGGGCTGAATAATGAAAATGTGGAAATCCAGCCGAGCAACTCCTTTGCCACCACCGTTGTAAGCCAGCAAAACAATCTGGAAAATCAAAATTTCTATCGCCAACACTTGACGCCGCAGCTTAGCAGCCAATTGCAGCAAAATGCGCAGCAGTATCTGCAACAGCAGCAGCAACTGTTACAGCAGCAGTCAAAGTCAACGACAGCAGCAGCAGCAGCAGCAGGAGCAGGCACGCCCAGCGTGAGCTCAGGTAATCCAAATTCTAGATTAATTATACCTAGCAATCAGTTAAGTCCGTTTAATAGTTTAAGAAATCTGGAAGAATTGAAAGTAATTAGTAAAGTTTTAGCTCTCAACCATGGCATACCGCAATTTGCATCACAAAACCTGCACTTCAATGGCGCCTTTTGAGCACCACCAACTGCACCACCAGCACCAGCACCACCACCAGAACCAACACCATTCCAAACAAAAAAAAAATGCACATCCAAATATCACCACCAATCCAAACAATCCCCTCAGCCGGATGTCTGCCGTTCCATATTTGCCCGTTAATTAAGTTCTTCTTGCAACATCTTTGTAAATACGCACTTTAAAGCATAAGCATTATAATAATGAATACGCGACAAGGAACAACCGAAGCAACAGGAAGTTTTGAACAGGATGTGCCGTGGCGGCCGTGGCGATTTTAAGCTCTGCTTGGCTAAAAGCTAAATATCGAAATGTAATAATTATTTATTTTTATGTGAATAAAGTTTATGATAAAGTACAACAAACATACTGAAACTGACCTTAAAAATAAAATGTTTTTAAATAATTAATTAAACAAAAGTTTTTGATTGTGGACCCAAGAGTATGGCTTGAGCTTATGGCTTGAGTGTTCCTTGTATGGAACAAAATTCAATTTAAAGAAAATCTTTTCATTCATCATATTAAAAACTCTTCACATATTTTCAAGACCTAATTTATCCATCCAAGATATTGTAATTTGCAGCGGGGATAAGCAAGCATACAATTCAAAAAGTTGTAAGACGTTGCATACTTTTGAGCTGCTTGTGTTTTTGAAGTACCGTATTTTATCACCAGATGGCGACTGAAAACAATTTCATGTGAATTTGGAAAGTGTTGCCTTCTTTCCGGCCGCCTAAAAAAAGCAGTACCAAACATCGTATTTTTGATCCAAACATATTGATACATTTTGATAGCCAGAACTCTTTTAATACTAGTTTAAGGATTTCGACAATGTATTTAAGCAAATTTGATAATATTTATAAAATCACCTTTATGCCGGTCATTTAAAGGACATGCAATCAGTAGCATACAAATTGCTTTAGCAAGGTTATATTCCACGGAAATTCACTCAATAAATTATCATTTCTTTCAGTTATGTCAGTAGAATTTTGTTGTTGTTTATTGCACAATTACAATATACATGTTCTCATTCATATAATTTATTATAGCTAAATTACTAACGTATATATATAAAAAATATGTGGGGCTCTCTTTCCGTTATTTATATTACTGAGTTGGCTAGCGGGGAAGGGGCGGTTGGTTTGAGGAGCGGGGACGGGCGCGGTTAGTGTTAACAAAACAACAGCGAAGCTTACAAAGAGCTGAGAAAGCAGTAACTAAAACTAACCTAGAATTACATTTAACTTAATAGTTTAGATTTTCATGTTTGATTTGTTTTGATTTTCTCATCAAATTCATAGCTCCGGGGCAATAGTTTAACAATTTCAACAGGCGCGCTTTACAGATTTTTTTTTCTTTTGTTGAGGAGCGGTCTTAGCTATACCTATGCGGCGTATAGCGCTTAACTAATATGGTACATGGACTTTTTTGTTTTTTTTTTTTTCATAGGTTTTTTTATAAAAAAAAATAGTAGAATTCGTTTCGAGCTTAACAAAAACGCAAGCTAATTAAACTAACAGATTGGAGTAGTATGCACTCATCCATTTCTGAGTAATGGGTATGTATATAATAAATATATTTTTTTTTAATTTTTGTATGTTTTGTTGGTGTTTGGACTAAACTAATTAAAAATGTATCACTAGTCTCTATATGTACTATGTATATATTTATATATAAAAATATTCCTCTACATTCGTATAATTTGCTCAAGTCTTAAGAATACAGTTGGTTTTCAATATGAATTTGACAGTTTCATAACGTGCAATGTGCGCGTTTAAAGGGGCGGATGGCGGGTCGGGTGGCCAAGTTTGTAAGACATTTGCTTTGCTCTTTTCGTACAGGGTCAATTTTTTGGGGGTTGGTCAGGGACAATTAGTACAAACTGACTATGGGCCTATACTAATACTACAATTTATGCATTTAGGGCTAGTTAGTTCTATGCAGTTACAAATAATTATATCATTTCTTGCATATTTCGTGTTGCTGTTGTTGTTGTTGTTGTTGCTGTTGGTCTGCTCCAACTCTTTCTCTATAAGGCACAGATATTTGTTACATCAGTTTCATCTAGTTTCTCTTCTATACACATATAAATACTTTTCGCCTAATGCAAATAAATACCAAAAATAAAAATAATTACAAAAATATACAGCTCAGGTGGGAAGGGGTGTCGTCCAGCACAAAGGTAGCGGAAACTACACCTCCACACCGTAGTTGCGGTCGACGACATAGTCGTAGCGTTGCTGCTCTGGCTTGGCCTCATCGGCCAGTGGCGCTGCTACGGGAACGGAGACGGGCACAGGAATAGGTGCAGAAACAGGGGCTGGGTTAATGGCTGGAGTGGGGGTGGCAGCCAGTCTGGACAATGCGCCGTCTGTTGATCGATGGTGATGCTCACTGAGATTCTTATTTCTATTGCTGCTGGCCACCAGAGCCGTGTTAATGGCAATGGTTGTTTCAACCACATTGTCCTCCTCATCATCATCGTCATCCTCTTCCTCTTCTTCGATGGCATCCGCATCGGGATGCATGAATTCGATTGGCAGCTCGGGCACGGACATGCCCTTGCGTGTAAAGAAGGAGATTTTCTCTCTGCAACAAACAATGGGCAAGATTAGCAGCTGGAGACGCTTTGGTCAGCTAATATAACTCACTTGAAGGAGACCAAATCGGGGGCGCCTTTGGGCACCTTGGTCTTGCGTAGCTTGTGTATTTCTTTGGTGGTCTTCATCAGCAGTTTCTGCAACAGACGCTCCTCGGGGAACTTGGCGGGATCGGCACGTGCAACCAGACGCTGGAACTCTTCGTTCTCAATGGCCCAGGCGGCAATCAAAGGATCCTTGTTATCGCACGCCTTCTGAAGACTACAAGAGATGACGAAGCATACAATTAGGAAGATAAGCAGGAGGAACGTTGTGCACTTCAAGCTACTTACACTTCCTTGAGGTTCTGCAGCTTGGAGATTTGATCGTTGAGAAAGAAAAGCTTGCTGTGCTGTGCTTGTAGATCCAACTCCAAGTCCAAGCTCGTGCGTGGTATGTGGTTATGATGCAGTTCTAAAAGCCAAAGAGATTATTAAGTTAGATTCAAGTTACCAGAGTGACGTTTTACGTTGGACTCACTTGTAACAGACTTGGTCGCCTTGGGTTGGAAGCGCAGCGAACGTCGCTCCACGGCGCCGCGATGGAAGGTGTGTGGCGTTACGCCAAAGTGCATGGCCGAGTCCGAGTCGCTGCGATTGAGCCGACAATTATAACGATTCTTGCTGACTGCCGCCGAGGGCGTAAACGTTTGCGAACGCTTCACGGGCCTGTCGTCCAGCAGCTGCGACTGGCTGCGTAGCTTCTCTGGTGGAAAGGCGCAATCGGTGTTAGTTTCCTTATCGGCATACTCCTGCTTCATGTTCTCCAGGTAGGCGTCCAGCATGCAACCAGCTAATGGTGGGTTTACAAATTCGGCATAAGTTAAGAATTCATGTGCTGTTCGAAGAGTTCGACCACTTACAGTGCGTCAGGCCGAGTGTGCCGACCAGCTGCTGTTCATCCTCCTCCTCATCGTCGTCGTCATCATCGTCGCTGCACTGCTGCTCGTTGTGGCGGACATGCTCGGGCAGTTCCTCGGCTATTTGCGCCTGCAGCTCCAATGGTGGCGCCTGGTTGCGCGTTAGCGTTGAGGTTTGCGACGATGTTATTGTGGACTCATCCGAGGATTCTTCGCGATTGTTGGTGTTGCTGTTATTGTTGTTGCTGGCGGCAACGGCGGCAGCTGCTGCCGCTGCGCTTGTGGAGGGCAAATCCAGTGACTCAAAGCTCGGTATAAACTTGGAACTGAGCACATTGTACCATTTGAGCGTGGAATCTTCCGGATTAAACTCGGCCATGCTGATCTGCACAGTGCCCTGAAAGAATCAAATCAAGGCAAGGATTAGAGCTTAGTCTCTTATAATGTACTGCAGCTACGACTTACAATTATCTCCTCCTTTTGTCCAGTCATGCTGACCACGGTCACCTGCAGGCTCTTGGTTAGCAGCTTGTCCAACGAGATGGGCACCGCGAAGGTGTCATTGAAGACGGGCTTCTGGAAGTCGCCTAGCGCCTTGGTGCGTATGGAGGTCAGCGAATTGGGCAGCAAAGCGGCGCGCAAATAACTACAAAAGGAGAAAATGGAAATGTGAGCAACTGCCTTTGAATGGGATCTGAACGGGCAGACTTACACTTGCGAGTTGTCCGTAGTGGCTGTCCAAAGGGCTGACAAATTATTGGCACGCTCTAGAGACACGACAAGCACACCTTCCTGCTTCAGATATTTCAGTCCAATCTGCACCTGGGCCAGTTCCTTACGCGGCAAATGCGCACGGGATGCCTCAAAGACGCCGGAATCACCGGCAACAGACTCGTTGCTCACAGCTGCCGAAACGGAACGCGTATTCGAGGTGGAAGAGGAACGACTCAGCATCTCTTGCGGCAGATCTAGCAGCGAGGGCTTCTCCGAGATGGGCGACAGCGGTCCATTCAGATTGAGCGGTGAACCGAGGTTCAGCTTCTGCAGTTTTGCCTCCAGCATCATGCAGTCCAGCACTGTGGAGTCCAGGTCATATGGATGAGCACGCACAGCAGCCAAAGCCAACGGGATGGCAGGTGGAGCTGCGTAGGCGGGCGGCGCGGGTATCGTAGGCAGAGCGGGCAACGCATTGGCATATGTTGGCTCCTCTTTGAGCTTGGCCTGTGCCTGCGGCTGATCGGCAATCGCATTGTATTTCATGGGCGAGGCGGGCGGCGTTTCCATTGAGAGGCTGCTTCGCGGCGACAGTGAGACCTCCGAGGATGCCTGCGGCTGCGTCTGTTGCTGCTGCTGCAGGGCTGGGTGCACGGGTGGCAGTCGCTGATGCTGCTGGAATAGGCGCTGCGAGCGTCGTTGCAGATCCACCACATCAATGGGCGATTCGCCCACGGCAAAGGGATCTATGTAAATGTCCGTAAAGCTGAGCGCGCTCTTACTACTGG